TTGCCACTTCTAGGCCTCAAAGCGTTTGAGTGGCTTGTTGTAATGGCCAATGTTTTGGCCATTCTTGACGAGAGATGATGCTAAAGTCAGAACCTGTGTCCAATAGCCCATTAAATTCATGTCCTTGAATATTTAGTTTTAGCATTGGACGAGAATCTAAATGTAAAGACAGCATAGCCCAATCTACACCTGTGAAGCCTAATCCCCTGGAACCTCTTTCTACAGTACAACTGGAAAATTTATCATGCAGGCTGGGTATTATTAATAACTGTGCTATTCTATTTCCTGGTGAAATTACTGATATACCTCTTGGAGAACTAGCTATAATTTTTATTTCACCTTCATAATCGGGATAAATTTCCCCAGGACTTATCATAAGTCCTTTTATTGTAGAAGAACTGTGTCCCAATAATAAGCCTACTGTTCCTTGGGGAAGAGGTCCTTTTACTCCTGTGGGAATGATTTCAACTCATCTCTGGAGTTAGTACTGCTCTGGCGGAGGTGCAGATGTCCAACCCTGCCCTCCCTCTGGTTCGTCTGATGAGGGATTTAATGGATAATGTGTCCTGGGCACTACCCTTATGGTATTGCTGGGGTCCCCCATTGCCCCTTATATTTGTGGTTGTGGGCCTCGGAGCATTGGGCCCTCCAGTCCGTTTTTTGGCAATGAAGCCTGATACTTTTCTCCACGATATCATGGGTAAACACCTGGTTCTTGTCCGTTTTTTAATAATGGAGTACCCTCTATGGTGGTTTGAGAACGGCATTCATTAGCCCAATGTCTCCCTTTACAGCATCATGGGCAAATACCCGGTATTCTATTCCTTTGATACTTAGTTTTGTTAAACCCTCCTCCTATGGGGCAACTCCTTTTAAAAATGTCCTGTTTGTTCACAAGTGTACCATGTTTTTGGCCTGGCATCTAAAGCTTGTTGTACTGCATCTGCCAAAACTTGCCTTTGTTCATTAATGTCTCTACATAATTTGATATATGTGTTTAAATCTCCATGTTTCCATGGTCTAATGACCTTTCTGCACCAACGATTTTCTTTCTCAAAAGCCAGTTGTTTTATTAATGGCATTGCTTGTTCTGTATCCCCCAAAACTTGGGCAGCTGTTTGAAATAAGCCTATCTACAGATTCAGTGTAAGGTTCATTAGCTCTCTGTATTACCTTAGATAACTGACATTGTAAATCTCCATGTCCTTTTAAAGTCTTCCATGCCCTAACTGCATCTGTAGCAATTTGTGCATATATTGGAGGATCATATTCAATTTGTTGCCGTTGACCCTCATAAGGTCCTTTTCCTAACAACATATCTAGATTTCTTTGAGAGTAACTGGCTTCTGCATTTCGCCTAGCTGTCTCCGTGCAAAATTCCTCATTGGCAACCTTCCATGACAAATATTGTCCTTCATTTAGCACAGATTTACACATGCTAGTCCAATCTGCTGGTGTTATATCCAAGTTGGTAATGGATTCGACCATGCTTACAGTGAAGGGTACTTGGGGACCATAGGTTGTTACAGCCTCCTTTAACTGCTTCACTGTTTTTGAAATCTAGAGCACGGTGAATTCGCTGCCCTCCTGCCTGCTCAAGTACAGGGCATGCTAATCTTTGAGGTCCTATCTCAGGATTCCATCTATCAACTATGGGGGTTGAGGGCCATTCAGCTGTCTCTATAGATGGAGCTGTTGGTTGAATTATGCCCTCTGGTGATAGAACAGTGTTAGTAGCAGCCTCCTGTTGTAGTTTTTTCCCTAATAGCCCCTTTTCCTTTAAATTTTCTTCCTCTTTCTGAGTAGCTCAAGAGATCTTCTCTTTTACTTGATCTAAAATGTCTTTCTCCATGGTCTGAACCTCTAACAATTTACTTAGCACTCTTTGGTTAGTTTTTTACTAATTTCTAATCTACTATAAAGAACGCAACCCAATAAGATAACACAAAACAAAACCGAAACAGAATGAAACAAAAATGGAACAAAAAATCATTGTATCAATTTTCTCTTCCATAAGCTGAACAACTTCAAACCTTGAGCCAACCATTTTTCCCAGTTTGCCTGAGAAAGTTCTAGGGATAGGCAGCTTGAAACAAAAACAAAGTAAATCAAAACAAGAACACATTAGTTTTTGAAATGGTCACCCATTCTCTCGCCTTCCCTCAGGGGCGAGCAATTTCACTTACCTCCAAGCTTCAGGTGTTCCCCGTACGGGCCACCAAATGCCGCAGTCTGGCTGGGCACAAATCACGAACCACTGAAGCAGGAGTAAACTTTATTTTTGAACTCCACCAGCACACTCCACACATGCTTCCAGGAAATATGCCGAACACGCCATCACGAGTCTCCTCCTGGGACCCCTAATCCAACAGGGAAAATCCCTCCTCCGGAAATCCCTCTTACTGCACTTTCCTAACAAATGGGAACTCTCCGTGAGTCCCGCTAGAGCTCCAAAGTAGCAGGCCGAGGCGGACAGCAGGGGTCTAATATCCAATTGAATGTAGATCTTAACATAATCATATCATCTCAATGGCTTGCTGGCATCACCTTTCAACCAAAAATGCCATGCATCATTCCTACTTGGCTATGGCTCTCAGCAGTAAATCTGTACATATCCCCTGGATCCCAGCAACCACTGATATAAAACAAAATCCCACTGAGTGTGAATACCTTTACCCATTAAGTAATGGGTCCTTTCTCATCTAAAACTAAGTGAATAAAATTGGGAAACATAGAGATCTGAGCTCAGTGACTTGTAGTTAAGTTAATCTTGAGGCTTCCATAAAAGGTCTTTGTGACCCATGTATTTTGTTTCTTGAGACCCATGTTTTGCATTTATGGATTTGAATTGTAAGCAGTCACTCCTGAGAAGGAAGTTTAGAGAAGGAAGAGAACGATGTAGTTGGTTTCCAGGTATGTGGTCCACGTTAGGTGTGGCATTGTATTTTTCTCCCAAACTACGTTATATTTGAAATATGCAGACCTGTAATTTTCTATCAATCAGGTTTGGGTTTAACATGTTTTAGCCACTTTGATTCCTTCTCTTCTCATGATAAACAACTTTATCTGTTTAAAATATATGTGCCCTTATATACCCCCTATACCAGGAGCCTTCAGTTCTTATACTTTCGTCTAAGCCATGCCATGCCTGCAGGATTGAAAAGGTTTTCTTTTTGGTAAATGGATATTGGAAAATCTTGGTGTCCTCCTATTGGGCATGTTTTGGGGTCATTAGATGTTGCTGAAGAATGGAACCATGCTTTGTTTACTTTCCATCTTGATGCTCCATCATCTCTACATACATAGTGTTAGTAAAATGTACATTAGTTTCCCCTTAGAAATTAGTATGTACTGAACAAACAGAATGGTTAGAAATGACTCAATCTTTAGAATGCCAAAGAAAGTCTGCTGCAATTCTTATTATGTCATTTTGTTTTGATGGCCACTGATATTACAGTACTGATGATGTGACCTTTTATGTTGATGCAACTTTGTTAAAATTTGTTCTATTTGTTCTACAACTGTTTTAGCCTCATTTGCTTGGTATAAATGCTGTCAGCCAAATTAACTCCATAAAATTAATTTTTTCTGTTTGTAGGCATCTTGGTAGGATTTTTCTAAATAATATACTTGAACAATCATATTTGATACATAAACTCTTTTTTTCTGAGTAATTTTCCCTTATGTTTTGCTTTGGGCGAATATAGCCTCTGCCTTTTGTTTACCAGAGTACTGACTTTATTACTGGAGCTCCTGAAGCAGACCACAGTCTTGTAGGCTTTTATTTTATTCTACCTCCAGCTCACAGACCTAAACCTCATAACCTCCTTGCATTTTCTGTGAATGAGACAAGAGTTATAGCTTTCCAGTTATCTGAAAATTACAAAGTATACCTCAAAATTAAATTTCAACAACAGGGAAAAAATGAAAAGTGCAAAAGACCAAGTAAAAGTAGCTCTTATTTTATTTGCTATCTTTAGATATTTGTATCTCAATAGTGTCTTTTAAAATAGCATCCATCCCAAATTAGTTTATATGTGTTAGAAAACAGAATATGCTTCTTATTTTTATTAAATGAAAAATTGTTGTTTTAATGTGTGAAGTTGACATTTCTGTATGTGTGTACATGAAACCTAAATATCATTTGATCAGTCTGATCATGTTTCTTCTTAAATACTTTTATTAGTCTTCACATTTGTAATCACTGCCATGCTATAAAAATTCTTCTTCTAACATTCACATTTTGACTTGACTTTAATGCTCCTTTTTTTTACTGAGTTACAGGACAGATAAACTTGGGTAAAAAGCAGGCTCTACCATTTACTGGATATTTGACAAATGTGATAAAGGAGGAGTACCACTACAGCTATCACATCTTTTGGGTTTCTGCATTAAGACATGAAATATGTATTTGAAATAGCTAAAAAGGATTGTTGCCGATAGTTGGTATTTTAATAAAAGTACATAAATCACTTAAAATACTTGAACTCAAATTCATTAATTATTTTTTTTCCTGTAGTGGCCTACCTCATTGCTATTCAAGAGTGTCTCGGCCCTCTGGCACTAAAATCACTAGATTGGAATTACTGTACATATTCAGAAAACCAGGTTCCATCCAATAACCACTGAATCAGAGTCTGCATTTTATTAAATCTCTGATTTATGGTTATATACTTAATATTTTAATGTTATTACCTTTCCTACCATAACTTTCTTGTCTGAGAAGTAGACAATTTATATTCTTGTGTTAATGCCTTAAGTTTACATTTTATTTTATAAAAGTGGAAAATATTCACTTGGAGTCAGGGCTCTTGACACTCTTATGTCAGTTTTTAAATAATAGAGAATATCACTGTTACAATGTATTTTCTTGAATAATTAAAATCACCCACTTTCTTGTCAGCAGTTCTACTAACTCTCATTTCATCTTCAGTCAACTTTGAAGCTCTGTGAATGATCAAATTGTCAATGTGCCATTAATTGACCTATTCTTATTTCAGGAACTGTTGACATTCGGGGATGTGGTCATTGATTTCTCTGAAGAGGAATGGGAATGCCTGGAGCCTGCTCAGCAGAATTTATACAGAGATGTGATGCTGGAGACCTATAGAAACCTGGTCTTCCTGGGTGAGCAGAGCTTTCTTTCAGAATTCCTAATTATATAGTTTTCTTCCCTTGCAGAATATCTTTTGGGAGATTTTTTTTTTTTTTCATTAACGAGTTTAAGATTTTTGCCTTCAAGAAAAAGGATTGGGCAGTTTGTGCCATTTCTTTTAGTCCTTTATCTCTTCATTTCTTGCGGTGATATATACTCTTCACTTTAGATTAGTGCTACTTACAGTAATTCAGTGATATACAATGATTTAACCTATGTGTCAAAGTATAATTTTTTCCCTTTGTGGTATCATCAGTACTACTATTAAGCATCAGTAATCACAGGAAGAATTCAATGAACACATCTTATTATCACTAAGCTCTATTTGGGCACCTTCCTCTGGAGCAAAGGAGAGAGCCCTGAGCCATATTCCCAAGTGGATAGAAATTCAAGAATCAGAGGACACAAGTAAGAGATCCAAAAGCCAAGGAGGAAGCCAAACTTCCAAATGATGGTGGAGAAGTTATTATGCCACAGAAATTGTTTTCCAGAAGCTTAAGTTTATCTCTCTTGTTGTTCTAGATGCTCTGTGTTTAGCATGCTTTCAACTTCTTTAGTCTCCTCTTTCTCCTGGGTTGATGTCCCAAAATGTTCAAATTAATTGCTCAAACAGTCCCTTTTGCTTGTGAGGTCAGCATCATCTGTTGGCATTTTCATTATTTGGTGGAAGTCTCTCAGAAATCCATGCACATTTCTGGAGACCTCTACATGGGGGCAATTGTAATATATTAGTGTCATAAAGCATATTCTCTAATATTACGTATATATTTATTAATTGAAATTGCCTTATTAGAGCTCCTTTGAATATTATAATGGATTTTCTGCAGATTTTTTTTTTTTGCGGGGGGGCGCAATATAATGAATGTCAGTGATTTACAGTGGCTGCTTACTTTGGGTAAATAGTCATAGTTGAAAACTGTAGTTATATAGGAGTTTGTAAAATAATACATTCATAGTTATTCAGAATTTTGTTAGTTAAATTTCTTTTTTCTTTTTTTTCCTTCTCTCTGTTTTATTTTATAAGATAATTTCATGTTAAAGTGCAGGTTTCCTCACATCAATCAGTAATGCTTTCATTTTTTTTTACCTACATTTATGATTTTATGGCATTTTCCAATATTTCACAAATTATGGCAGTGTGAGATGAATTAAAGTATGCCTGTTCCTTGTTTCTGTTGCCAATAAAATTACATTCTTTCTTATTTTTTATTTTTGTTTATATTGCCAATAAAATTACTTTGGGGATAAAATGTATTCTTAAGTTTTTATTTTAAAGTATGTTTTGTACATGATAATTATTGCTACATCAGGTTTTGGTCATTGTTGTGTAATATTTTTATGTGCCTTTTCCTTCACATTGTATCCGTAGATTTAGAGTCTCCTGTAGACTGCATATAGTTTTTGTTTTGTTTTGTTTTGGGTTTTTTTTTTTTGTAAGTTTCCCTTGCTTCTTTTATTTCTTTTACCTTGTTTTCTTATTGCTTTAACTTGTGGTCCACTGATTTTTATGGTGAAATTCTTTGATCTCTCTTTCACTTCACTTCATTCTACGTATATTTGTTTTGTCATTTACGTTGGGATTTTATAAAAATATTTTAAAATTATACTATATTTTAAACTGGCAATAAATTAACTTCAGTTTTATAACAAAATTTAGTATATTTATATGTTCTTTTAAAATTATTTTATTGATGGTACAGTTATTCTTTTAGTTTTTATTTATTTTTTGCTATAGTTGTTGATGGGCCTTTATTTTATTCACTAACTTATATGTGGTGCTGAGAACCCAGTCTAGTGCCTCACACATGCAAGGCAAGCACTGTACCACTGAGCCACAACCCCAGCCCTGGCATAGTTTATATATATATATATATATATATATATTACACATTAAAGTTTATGATGTTTTTTTTGTCTTAGAAATCCTATTGTAAAGGTGTTTTATGATATATCATTCCAGTAAAAATGAATGTATATTGCTATATGACTTTTTCTTGCCAAGAAATCTTTAAAATTTCATATGACTTTATGTTTTTGTGTACATTTATTTTATTTTTTAACATGAAATATTCATATTGTATTAACACCAGAAGTAATTAACCACTGAGCACCATTCCAAGCCCTTTTTTTTATTTTTCATTTTCAAACAGCATCTCACTAGTTAACTTATGGCCCTACTAAGTTGCTAAAGGTAACTTTGAATTTAGTTTATTCATGCTTCAGCCTTCCAAATTGTGGGGATTCCAGGCTTGTACCCCCATACTAGCTAATGTATTGTATTCTTGATGAATGGTAATAGAATAATTGCAATGTTTTCTAAGCACTAAAGTGATAATTATATGAAATAATAAATTTGATAATTAGCTAGATTTAGCCATTTCTTTTCTTTTTTTAAAAAATTTACTTTTTAGTTCTAGGTGGACACAATATTTATTTTTTTTATTTTTATGTGGTGCTGAGGATCGAACCCAGTGCATCATACATGCTAGGTGAGTGAGCTACCACTGAGCCCCAGCCCCAGCCCCTAGGTTTAGTCATTTCATCATATATTTATATTTTAAAATACCAATACTTAGTAAATAATGAAATTTAATTTGTCAATGAAATGAATCAGTAAATAACCAAAATCACAAAACTTAAAAAGCAAGGCTGCTACAGCTGCTGCGTAGAGGTGCATTCTTTGGGTGCCTTCAGGTTTCCTCGCACCCAGCCTCTTCTCTCTTGGGACACTGGTTGTTTTAGTCAGCTATTTTGCTGCTGTGACTAAAGGACCTGACCAGAACAACTTCAAGGAGGAAAGGTTTGTTTGGGGGCTCATGGTTTTAGACATCTTAGTCCATAGAAGTCCAGCTCAGTTCTTTGGGTCTTGAGGTGAGGCTGAATATTATGGCAGGAAAGGAGAGCAGAGGGAAAATGGCTCACAGATACAATACATGCTCCAAAGCATGCCCTGATTCCTACCTCCTCCAGCCACATTGTATCATTTCAGCTACCACCGGAAGTCTGATATCAGAGTGCCATCTAGTTTGCTGTTGCCATCTTGGGTCCCAACCACCTACATCTGGGGACACAGGCCTGGAGGACCCAAATCAAAGTGCCTTGAGGTTTTGTTGTAGCTGAGATTTTTCTGTATGTGCTGGTAGCCACAATCTTACTGCTGCATCACATGGTCACATCTTTGTGTGTAAATTAAAACAACATTGATATCTTGGGTCTGCACCACAGCAGAGCGTAAAGAATTTGAAACCCAGATCTGTGAGTTTACAGCTAGATCTGCTTGGTCCAATCTGAGTTAGCAATCCTGTGGAAAGGTCAGAAACTAGGAGTATTTTACTAAGGGGAATCACAGGTTAGAGAGGCCAGAGAGAGCCAGGCTGTCCCCAGCTCCATGAGTCCTAAAGTGTGTGGGGATAGACAAGGTTGGCTATAATGGGTCAGAAGTTTGATAAAGGGTATTAGGGTATATTTTTATCAGCTTGCTGAGCCAGCCAGTTTAGCACCCACCAGATCAGAGTCAATCAATCTCCAGACTACCACACATATCGGCTGAGAAAGGAAGCTAAAAAACTTGAACTCCAAGAGAAACAATTGTTCAATTTTTCATTGAGAAAAAATTTTAAATTATTATTTCTCTCCCTTTTACTTCTCTACCATTTTTAAAACCAAGAATTTTTATGAATCAGTTTATTGAGGACTGGGATGTCTGAATAGTATATTACAGTTTTCTTGTGTATTTTTATATTTCTCTCTCTATCTCTCTCTTTCTCTCTACTCTGTATATATTTTTCCTTATCTGTCTCCCTGGAATCTTTCTTTCTTTTCTACTTTTAACAGCTAGCCTCTATTAATACCTCTTTCACTCTTTCTATGAATTTTTACTTCTAACTTCTCTAATACTTCCTCATAAACATCACATCCTACCACTTCTCTCTTTATCCACCAGTTGAAATTGTAAAACCTTTTTGCAAACTTACAATAATTGAACCATTATTTCTGCTTATTGTGACAAAACTCTAGATGTCTTAATAGGAGCTATTTTATTAAGAGGCTGCATATTGTTTGCATTGGGTGCTGTTAATATTGCTGTCTCCCTTAAAGGCAAGACACTGGAAACTGTACTGCCTCAGATCCATAGTGCTAAATGGGAAGACATAAAAACAACATGAAAAAAACAAGGGAACTAATTGCCCCAAACAAACCACGATGCTCCAGTAACAGAATCCATTGACCACACAGTAAAAGAAATATCAGAGAAGGAGTTTAGAATGTACTTAGTTGGACTGACCCACAATGTAAAGGTGATGCAAAGAGTGAAATCAGAGATAAATTTCAGGTGATGAAAGATCACATCAATAAAGAAACAGATTTTGAAAAGAAATCAAGCAGAAATCCTCAAAATGAATTTTAAAACCCAATGAAAAATTAATGGAAAGTACCCACCAACAGATGAGGAGAAACTATATCACCTTGAAAATTAACCATGCAGAGAAGATTATGAGAAACCATGAATATAACTTCTAAGAATTATGGGATAACATTAAAAGAATAAATTTAAGATTTATCTGGATAGATGAAGGTACAGAGATACAAACTAAAGGAATGCACAATATTGTCAATGATGTAATATTAGAAAATTTCCTAAACCTAAAGAATGAAATGGAAAATCAAATACAAGAGGCTTACAGGACCCCAAATGTACAAAATTACAACAGACCCACACCAAGTCACATTATAACAAGAATGACTAACATAAAATATAAAGATCAAATTTTAAAGGCCATGAGAGAAAAATATCAAATTATATATAGGGGCACAACAGTTTGGATCTCAGACCCACTAAAACTAAGTTTCAGATTTGAAGATGAAATAAAAACCTTCCATGATAAGCAAAAGTTAAAGAATCTATAACTTTTTAAAAGTGTGCACTACAGAATATTCTCAAGAAAATATTACATGAGGATAAAATGAAAAAAAAAGTGAAAATGAGCAAAGGACAGAAATACACTAAAAGAATCATCAATCAAAGAAGGAAGTAAGTCATATGAAAAAATAGAAATAAACCAAGATGTCAAGGAATACACATCACATATCAATAATAACCTTTAATGTTAATGTCAATCAAAAGACATAGACTGGCAAATTGGTTTAAAAATCAAGACCCAACAGTATGCTATCTCACCTCCTAGCCAATTAATTCCACAGAATGAACGTGAAAGGATGGAAAAAACACATCACTCATATGGATCATGTAAACAAATAGAGGTTTACAACCTCATATTAGTGAGGATATCATACAGTGACACAGCCACATTCACGTTTATAGCAGCTCACAATAGCTAAACTGTGGAAGCCTGCTAGGTCCCCTTCAACAGATGAATGGATAAATAAAATGTGGTACATATACACAATGGAATATTACTCAGCCTTAAAGAAGAACAAAGTTATGGCATTTACTGGTAAATGGATGGAGCTGGAGAATATCATGTTGAGCAAAAGTAAGCCAGTCCCCAGAAAACAAATGCCAAATATTTCTCTGATATGTGAGTGCTAATTCACAATAAGGAGGGGCAACTAGGGAAGAAAAGAGATACTTCAGATTAGGCAGAGGAGAGTGAGAAGGGTTATAATGTATGGTGTAAGAAGGATAGTAGAATGCATCAGACATTATTACCCTATGTGCATATATTACTACATGTCGAGTGTGATTCTACATCGGGTACAACCCGAAGAATGAGAAGTTACACTCATGTATGATGTGTCAAAATTATTCTATCATCATATATAACTAATCAGAACAAATAAAAGGGTATCATAATAGAAAATAGTTTGTATTTCTGTATAATAAAAATAAATTTTAGAATTGAAAAAAGTTAAAAAGCAAGTCATTTGTCTTGATCATCTTGTGTTGACTTCATCCAAGTCATACTAATATAGGCTGTGTGTGTGTTTGTTTGTGTATTGTTCCTATTAAAATGATATATCCATATTTCTCCTTGGAGATCATAGGCTCTCTACTGCTATTAAATATCTGTATTGTTGTCATCTAAAAATCAATATCTTAAATCCATTTCTCTATCAAGTGGTTTTCAGATCTTCCCCAAGAAAGTCAGAAATGTTTAAGTTTCACATTTCCTTTTGCAATAGATAGAGAAGAAGGAAATTGGTGGATTTTTCATAATTGTACTAAGGTGTATGCTTGAAGAAGAAGACCTGTAGTGGATAAAAGTAACACACTTTCCTTTCCTCTATTATATCACTCTCCTTAATGATATGCTCATCTTGGATACTGTGAACTCTCATGTGGTTTATAATTCATACAAAGTAATTTTTTCTGTCCACTGTTATATATTTATGGGGTAATAATGGCCTTTGGTGTACTATTTAGCCACCCTGCTGATATACTGACTGCTATAATTTTATATTATATATGCAAAGCATATTTCTAGTCTAATATGTAAAATAACTGTTATTTTCATTTATTTCAGGCATGACCTCTCATCATACCCAGAAAATTTCATCAGAACCTGGCATAGAATATTTATTTAAAAAAGTTATAAAGAGAAGATATGGAAATTGTGACCTTTACTATTTACAACAAAAGAAAGTATGTGTCAGTGTAGGTGAGAGTGAAGGTCAGAAATCATATTATAAAGGACAAGACAAATTAGTAGTTACTGTCCATAAAGAAAATTTTAATGTCAACAGACCTCAAGAACATTTAATAGCTCAGAAAAGTATTCAATTTATAATTGAAGGACAAGTTTCTAAAAGGGATCGTTTTGAAACTGTTCTTACAAACTGTTCATTATTCTGCAATAAACAAAGATTTTTTTCTTGTGACAAAACATACACCTTTAATGATTCTGGGAAGGCACCTATGCACTCATTACTGCCTACTAAACATTTAGATATCTGGAAAGTAAACAACACATGTAATAAAGCAAGCAACACCTTTAGAGAGGTCCCTATCTTAAGCAATTACCAGTGTACTTCTATTGGAGAAAAAAATTATGAATGTGACAAGACACATAAGAATTTTAGCTCTGGTTGCAATATGAGAGAACATCAGTGTGCTCATTGTGTACAGAATCTTTACAAAGATGATAAATGTGGGAACGTCTTTCCTCAGTGCTCAAAGCTTATGATCTATCCAAGTACTCAGGGCCAAGAGGCACCTTGCAAATGTGAGGAATGTGAGAGAGCTTCTAACCCAGCTCCTAGCCTTCCTCAACACAGTGGAGCTCATCCTGGAAGGGAGCCCCATAAATTTAAGGAGTGTGTCCAAGCATGGAGTTGCTCACCCCTTTCTAAACACCACAAGTTCCATAGCAGTGATCAACACTACAAATTTATAGAATGTGGCAAAACTTTTAATAGAGAACCATGCCCTGTTAATCTCCACACAATACATACTGGAGGGAAACCCTACAAATGTAGAGAATGTGGCAAACCCTTTAAGAATTGCTCAACCCTTTCTAAATACCTGAGATGGCATAGCAGTGAGGAAACCTACAAATGTAAAGACTGTGACAAAATTTTTAAAAATTTTTCAACTCTTACTGAACACCAAAGGATTCATACTGGAGAGAAGCCCTACAAATGTAAAGAATGTGGGAAATGTTTTAATCGTAGCTCAAACCTTATTCTACACCAGAGAATTCACACTGGAGAGAAGCCCTACAAGTGTGAAGAATGTGGCAAGTGTTTTACTTTCAGATCAAACCTTATTAAACATCAAAGAGTTCATACTAGAAAGCATCCCTACAAATGTGAAGAGTGTGGGAAAGGTTTTGCTCTCAGAGCACATCTTACTCAACACCAGAGAATTCATACGGGAGAGAAGCCCTACAAATGTAAAGAATGTGGCAAAGGTTTTACTCAAACACAAAAGCTTTCTGAACACCGGAGAATTCATACAGGAGAGAAGCCCTACAAATGTAAAGAATGTGGGAACGCTTTTACTCAAAGAGCACACCTTACTCGACACCAGAGAATTCATACAGGAGACAAACCATACAAATGTGAAGAATGTGGAAAAGGATTTACCCAAATGCGAAAACTTAAACAACACCAGAGAATTCATACAGGTGAGAAGCCCTACAAATGCGAAGAATGTGGGAAAGCTTTTACTCAAAGAGCACACCTTACTCGACACCAGAGAATTCATACTGGAGAGAAACCCTATAAATGTGAAGAATGTGGGAAAGCTTTTACTCAAAGAGCACACCTTACCCAACACCAGAAAATTCATACTGGAGGGAAGCTCTACAAATGTAAAGAATGCAGCAGTGCTTTTAAGGATGTTTCATCCTTTATCAAACACCAGAGAATTCATGCAGGAGACAAGGAAAGTCCCAGTCATAGCACCCCAGAACACCTGTTAGATTTCCTGCACATGCTACATGTACCCAGAGCACTAAATTGGAATGTATTTCCCTAACAGCTAAGCACACACCTCCTTCCAGTGGCAAAGCTCTGAGTCAGAGTGTGGGGAGTTTTTTCTTCCTCCCTTCCTCCCCTCCTTCCCTCCTCCCCTTCCTCCCCTTCCTTCCCTTCCTCCCCTTCCTTCCCTTCCTTCCCTTCCTTCCCTCTATTGAAGTAGGAAAAAATGCTGACTTCAAGAAGCTGTTAAATATTTCCTGTTTGTACTTTTTATGTTACCAGACCCAATCTTGCAATCTCTGGATTAAACAGTAAAAGCTGGGATTATTCACATAGGATTCTGTTTTACTTTACATCAGTTTCTTTGCTAGCTGAGAAACTTTCTGCACATATAACTTCCTTATGTCCAAGAAAAGCTGAGCAACAGTGGGATATAATGTGGACCCTAGCTGAGATTTGGAAGCCTACCTCAACATAGGAAAAAAAAATGACCATATAAGCTACACCACCAATAAAAGAATAGCCTTAGCTTATTTTCATAATTCTTGATGCTGATTACTTGACAATCATTTGATTGGCCTTAAGCCCTATAGAACAGTTTTCTTTGGTGCAAGGTCCTGTCATTCCCTGAGAGACCTCCAATAGAATACAGAAACATCCCAAACCTGACATTGAAGCTGGATAATTGGAATGTGGATAATGGTTCTCTGTGCCAATAAGAATACATGAAGAGAGCTGGGGATGCTGCTCAGGGATAGAGTGTCTGTGGGTTTTAAGGCCTAACATTATAAAACAAAGAAGGCAAACCTCCCTCCAGATGCAAAAGAAGAAGGAGAAAACTGGACATTACATTCTAGGACTTGACATATTCTTCAAGACATAAAATATTGTAATGCCTAAGCTGGGACTGAACTAAACACCATGAAAAGTAAACTTGACTTTGTGTCTTGAAGGATCACGTGTAGAAATTAAACAGATTTCCTACAAGTTCCAACTCCATCTTCAGCAAAGGGCTCAGAGGAGCTTTCTGTCCCCACTGAGTTTTCAGCCCCCGCAATGTGGTCTGAAGGAGCTCAGAAGGGAAGACCAACAGACCATGGGCAGCCTGGGCTTTGTGCCTATAGAACTGGGGGTGAACAATGATTGCAGAATAGTCACAGCTGGTGAAAAAACCTAATGGCACCAGGAGAATGGCAGATTATGGAGAACTGACTGAAGTGGTGCCTTCTCTGCATGCAGAAGTTCCCATGATGCATGAATTGTATGGGCATAGCCAGACACCTCCTCCATCAAATTAGGGCATATTTGGAATAGAGAAGTGCTCTATGCCCTAGCCATTTATCCCATGATCTTAAAAAGGTTCTATGGCCAGTGCAGTATGCCCCTGAGGATGTACCAGACACTGGTGATGAATGTAGCCTGACAGAACCATCATCCTTCCAGGAAGAAGCAGTTCTGGTGGGCAACAAGAGTGCTTGGTACACTGACTGGTTCAGCAGAGACCCTTGGGCCATTGGACTGCCACTGCTGTACAGCTCAACGTGAACACCTTGTGTGAGTCTGGTGTGCAGCAGAGCAGCCAATGGGCTGCCCATGTTGTATATGCCAGAAATACTGGAAGTTCTGGGCACCCCAAGAGTCAAAGAAACACTCATGAACTAATTAGCTCAGTTGGCAGGGCAAGAATTTTATTTCCTTGTGCAGATGTTGAAAAAAAAATGCTGTTAATGTTCATCTTTGGCAGAAAAAAGATGACTTAAAATGTTAATCAGGTTTGTTTGATATCTTGGTATTCATGAGTAACATAAACTGAGCAATTAAAAATAGAACTCGCTGGACATTTCTCTGGGACTCCCAATAAAACTGGAGCACAGGAGGAATGCACTATCTTTGCCTCTGAGAGGACCCATTCCCTCCTCTTTCCTCACTTTTAAACTTTTTTTTTTACTGGATGTTGAACCAGGAGTACCAATCTTTTGTAAATATTTTCTTTTAAGATACTGTCTGGCTGATTTGAATAGGGACTTGAATTCACAATCCTCCTGCCTTAGTTGTGTGCCACTGTGGCCAGCTTTCCTTTTCTTTTAAATAAACTTTGCTGTTGTTTTAGTAAGTGCAGCATCTTGTCTGGAGTCCTATCCAGCAAGAACACCAGAGTCAGGGATGGGGACCTCCAAAAGTGCCTCACTCTGTCTTGTTTGCAGCACAGTCAACACTGATTCTTGCCTTTCACTTGAAAGAGGGGGAAACTAGCTGAGGGATGCCACGTGATCAATTGATGACAGGTCCAGCCAGACTGTTTCAGGACTCCTGTCACATGCCTGGCCTTCTCTGGCAAGAGAAGGATCAAATGTTTGCAGGGACAACACCTCCCCCTCCCATCTAGCAGCATTGCAAAAGTAATAATTACTTTAATTGTCCCAGCTGCAGAAATCCCTTAGGCTTAACTTTCTTATTCCTGCAGTTGCCCCATTTACCCTTTGCTAACATCTTCCCTCCCCACTGTTCTTATCAACTACCCACCCAATGGGACATCTAGAGTCAGAAGAGGAGTTAATTCTGCCCCATAAAGGATTCATTAAGAATACCTGTTTGGGGGCTGGGGTTGTGGCTCTGAGGTAGAGCACTTGCCTAACGTGTGAGGCACTGGGTTCGGTCCTCAGCACCACATAAATATAAAGATATTGTGCCCACCTATAACTAAAAAATAAATATTTTAAAAAAAGAATGCCATGTTTTCTCACTCAAAAGAATAATAAGTAGGATACATAACCCTGAGGGTATAGCCCAGAAGGAAATTTTCTAAGGTTGGAGCAACTGCTTCTAAAATTGCTCAGCACAGCCTTTGAAGGCAGGAAGAAAGTGAAAATTTGAAGGGCATCCCTTCACCTCTTCCACCCCTCTGCAAGGCTCTGAAGCCCCCATCCCTAAATACACTGTGAAGGGTCCAGCAAGGGTAGCAACCCCAATATGTGTAGATTTAATGCACTTGAGGAGTAGCAGTGACTAGCCTAATCCAATAGCAATGCCACCTAACTCAGGATGGCCTGAGTCCTGGAGCATGCTCCTATGCTGGAGAGGGGGACCATCCAGTTACTCTGCATAGGCACATGGACTGTAGGACCTGACCTTGCTTTCTGTATGTTTGGGGTTGCTGCTGGATGTGTGTTCAAGGAAGTGTTCTTGAGGGAGGATACAGAAGGGTAACAGCTCACAGGGGCCCTGACAGTGGGCAGCTCAAGGACAGCTCATCATTGTAGTCCACAGGCTACCTGTGGGAAATGGAAGCCTAATTCTCACCTCACCACAGCTCTTTGCCTTCCCAATCTGACACCAAGCCTCCATGCTTCAGTACCAGCTCCTATCCACCTCAAGTTTTCTGGACAACTACCTGCAATATGGTGCCAGGGAAGTTTGGAAGGGAATCAGGAGCCAAGGGGTCACTGGCCTGTACAGTCCTGTGGTCCACCTCCCTCTTACCCTGACTCTGCACACGATCCTTTTTCATAGGAAGTGTGCAGTTTCCACCCCTGAACCCCAGGGAATACTACCCAGACATCTACAGCTGTGTGCTTGCACCAGCCTCCACTTTCTGATCCTTTTAGTCTCCTGCCCTCTGCAGAAATTTCTTCAGCTTCTGAAGCCTTCCCGACATATCTGCTCCTGGCAACCAGCTGAAATGACCGTGTTTCTGATGGAGTATTTCCTGCAGACCCCTCTTTTAACCCCTCTGAACTCTGGCTCTGCCATCACTCTGCAGTTTGTTAAGCAGCTTGGCTGCCCTGGGCTCCATGGATTAGGTTGTTTAAGATGTTAGATTTCATCATTTCTCCGGTGAGGCTGTCACATTTCTCACCTTGCTGAACAAGTCCTCATTGTATCATGCACAAATGGTGATATAGACAAAGGTTCTCATTTAAATTTCTTAGAGACTATATTAGATTGGTTTCTAAAATAATGAGTTTGGCATGTAGCCTGAGATTTTTGCATTTTTAAAACGTGTGCAGGTGAGGTGTTTTTGCCACTGAGTGGAAAGTCCTTAGGTGAACTCCTGGTGCTAATTCATTAGCACAAGCAGGCTTGCCTTGAGGGCTTCATTAAGAAACACTGTGTGGGCCCCCCACCACATTGATTTTCAGGCTTAAATTCAGAGGTTCCAGAGCTTTTCTAACAATCTTTCTGGAGACATCATGCTGGTCCACTGGTTTGTGGGCCACTGCTAAAACTTCATGAGTGCTCAGCAAAATAAATATGTAACAAATAAACATCAAAATTAGCATTTTCTAAGATCTACATTTTTTTCCAATTTCATTTCCAATGCATTTCGATTCATTGTACAAAAATGAAGCACCACTTTTATTTCTCTAGTTGTACATGATGTAGAGTTGTACCATTCCTGTAATCATACACATACCTAGGGTAATGTTGTTGGTCTCATTTCACCAGCTTTCCTATCCCCATTCCCACTTCCTTCCCCACCCTCCCTTTTGCCCAACCCAAAGTTCCTCCATTCTTTCCATGCCAGCCCTCCCATTATGGATCAGCATCCACTAGTCAGAGAAAACATTTGGCCTTTGGTTTTTTTGGAAGTTTTCTTGTGGAATCTTTTGGGTCCTCTAAATATAAAATCATGCCATCAGCAAATAGTGATAGTTTGAGTTCTTTACCTATTTGTATCCCTTTAATTTATTTCTTTTGCCTAATTTATTCTGGCTAGAGCTTCTTCTATGATAATGTTGAATAGTGGTGAAAGAGGGTATCTTTCTCTTGTTTCAGTTTTTAGAGGGAATGCTTTCAATTTTACTCCATTTAAAATTATGTTGGCCTTGTGTTTAACACATATAGCTTTTACAATTTTGAAGTGTATTCCTACTATCCCTAGTTTTTCTAGTGTTTTGAACTTCAAGAGGTGCTGTATTTTTTTCAAATGCTTTTTCTGCATCTATTGAGATGATTATAAGATTCTTGTCTTGTATTATGTTTATTGATTTTCATATATTGAACCTACTTTTCATTCCTGTGATGCACCCCACTTGATTGTGGTGTACTATGCTTTTAATATGTTATTTATGTGATTTGCCAGAATTTTGTTGACAATTTTTGCATGTATATTCATCAGGGATATTGGTCTGAAGTTCTTTTTCCTTGATGAGTCTGTCTACTTTGGGTATTACAGTGATATTAGCCTTATAGAATGAGGTCAGAAGTGTTCCCTCCTTTTCTATTTCATTGAATAATTTGAGGAGTATTCATATTATTTCTACTTTGAAAGTCTTGTAGAACTCAGCTGAGAATCCATCTGGTCCTGTGCTTTTCTTGGTTGGTAGGCTTTTGATGGTGTCTTCCATTTCATTGCTCAAACTTAATCTGTTTAAATTGCATATGTCCTCCTGATTCAGTTTATGCAGATCATATGCCTCTAAAAAGTTGTCAGTGTCTTTCATATTTTCTGTTGTACTGGAGTATAAATTTTGAAAATAGTTTCTAATTATCTTTATTTCAAAAGTGTCTGTCATCATATTTTTGTTTTCATCACAAATTTTAGTAATTTAAGTTTTTTCTCTTTTTTCTGTTAGGCTGGATAATGGTTTACCAATTTTATTTATTTTTTTAAAAAACAGCTTTTGTTTCGTAAATTTTTAAAAATTGTTTTTTTTCTTTCAATTTTATTAATTTTGGCCCTGATTTTAACTATTTTCTGTCTTCTACTACTTTTGGTGCTGATTTGTTTTTCTTTTTCTAGGGCTTTGAGATGTAATGTCAGGTCATTTATTTTGTTCACTTTTTATTCTTTTCATGAATTAGCTTGATGCAACAAATTTTCCTCTTACTACAGCCCTCATAGTGTTCCTCAGATTTTGATATGTTGTATTGGAATTCTCATTTACCTCTGAAAAATTTTTACCTCCTCCCTGATGTCTTCTGTTATTCATTCATCATTGAATAGTATTATTTAGTCTCCAGGTGTTGGAGTACCTTCTATTTTTTATTTTATCATTGATTTCTAATTTCATTCCATTATGGTCTGATGGAATGCAGGGTAGTATATTTATACACTTGATCTTAGCCAAAAGGCCGAGAAGCGATAATATATTTATATTTTTGTATTTACTGAAACTTACTTTGTGATGTAATATATAATCTATTTTAGAAAGGGATCAATGTGCTGCTGAAAAAAGTGTATTAGTTCATTGATGGATGAAATATTCCATATGTCTGTTAAGTCTAAATTATTGATTGTATTATTGAGTTCTATAGTTTTTGTGTGTTTGTTTTGTTTTGTTTGTTTCAAAGATCTATCCAATGTCAAGAGAGATGTGTTTAAGTCACCCAGTATTGTTGTGTGTGGTGTATTTGGTTCTTTTTTAAAAAATATTTATTTTGGGTGGGGCTGGGGATGTGGCTCAAGCGGTAGCACACTTGAGCCTGGCATGCATGCAGCCTGGGTTCGATCCTCAGCACCACATACAAAGATGTTGTGTCTGCCATAATAATTTATTATTAAATTATTATTAAAAAAATATTAAAAAATTCTCTCTCTCCCTCTCCCTCTCTCACTCTCTCTTTAAAAAAAAATAAATAAATAAAATTTATTTTTTAGTTGTAGTTGGACACAATAACTTTATTTAATTTATTTATTTATATGTGGTGCTGAGGATCGAACCCAAGACCTCACAAGTACAAGCAAGCACTTTACTGCTGAGCCACAACCCCAGCCCCCGTGTATTTTGTTCTTGAAATTGAGAAGTGTTCATTTGATATACACTCATGCTACATTGTTTGGGGCATAGATATTTATAATTCTTATGTCTTGTTGATGTATTATTCCCTTTAGCAGTATGAAATGTCCTTCTTTATCCCTTCTGACTTCTACTACGCGGCCTGCGCAGTGGTTTCATTAATGAGGTTCTAGGCATAAAGTTAGTTAGAAGAGATCGAAATAAAAACACAGACTCAGTTACCTTATTTCTATTGCTAGGTCTGAGACGGCTCCCCTCTGGTTCACTCCTCTAAACTGCCAAGCAGGGCAGCAGGGATTACTCAGGGCTAGCAGGAGAGAGAGAGAGAGCGAGCACGCCGGGGAACAAGAGATTCAGGGGAGAATTCCATCCAATGAA